ACAAGTCTTGCTTTATACTTGTCTATTGAACCATCTGCCTTCATTTTTCTCTTGAATATCCGTTTATATCGAAGAGGTTTAGAACCTGGTGGAAGATTCACCAATTACTAAGTATGATTTTGCATAATGGACTCAATTTCATTATTAACAACCTCTTTCCACAAAGGTGCTTCAGGACCTGTCATTGCTGTTTTAAAGCTTTGAGGTTCATTTTCTAACAGGTATGTTAGGAAATCTGGACCAAAGGATTTTGATGTTCTCGCTCTCTTACTTCTTCTTGGTTCATCATCAGTTAAATCCTGTTGGTCGAGACCTTTACTAGTCTCTTGTGTTTGATTGTCATTAGTCTCTTGACTTTGTGTACAATCATAAGTTCTTTTCTGTGAACATGTCCTTTCTTGTAAGGAAAGACATGTTCAAAAAACACAGTATTCCTTGACTGTATAATAGTGTTTACATTTATATCAGGTATTTCTGATTTATAAGTCAGAAACCGATATGCACTACTATTCTGAGCATAACCAATAAACACGCAATCTATTGTTTTTGGTCCAATCTTAGTCTTTTTAGGAACAGGAACTTCAACTTTTGCCAAACACCCCCACACTTTTAAGTATTTGTAGGAAGGCGGTCGACCTTTCCACAATTCATAAGGAGTGCTGTTTGTTTTCTTGTGAACATAATTAGCAGACAATATTGCTTCCCCCCCACAAGTTCTGTGATAAACCTGAACTTAGTAACATGGCATTCATCATTTCTTTTAGGGTTCTATTCTTTCTTTCAGTAATTCCATTTTGCTGTGGAGAATAAGGTGCTGTAGTTTGGTGAATAATGCCATGTTGTGCACAAAATTCATTTAATGGTGCATCATATTCATCACCCCTATCACTTCTAACCATTTTAATGGTTTTATCAAGTTGATTTTCAACTTTTGTTTTGTTGAGTTTAAGCATTTCTAAGGCTTCATCTTTACTTCTAAGTAAATAAACATAACAATATCTTGTGCAATCATCGATAAATGTTATGAAATACTTTTTGCATCCTCTAGTTTGAACAAATTTAAGATCACATACGTCTGTATGAATTAATTCTAGAAGTTCGATTTTCCTTTCAATTGATTTAAATGGAGCCTTAGTTAGTTTCGCTTCTACACAAATTTCACATTTATGATTAGGATCAATTTCAAACTTTGGTATATAATCCAAACCAATTAATCTACGCAAAGTATCAAAATTTATATGTCTTAATCTACCATGCCATAAATTCGACTCAAGAATATAAGCAAAAGATGTGTTATTCTTATTCATAGCAACTTTTGGTACAACTGTCATTACATTCAATTTAAAGAGACCATCACTCATGTATTCCTTACCAACATACATAACACTCTTTGTTAATACAAATTTATCAGACTCAAATACAAGCCTAAGACCATTTGTACTTAATAAAGAGCCAGAAACCAAATTCTTCCCGATGTCAGGTACATACAGTACGTTGTTGAGGGTCAATTCTTTCCCTGATGTCATCTTCAAAATCACTTTTCCTTGTCCAGCCATAGTAGAAGTAGAAGAATTTCCCATGAAAAGTTGTTCACCATTTGCAGCCTCATTGTAGGTAGTGAACATCTTCTTGTCCGTACATATGTGACAAGTTGCTCCAGTGTCAACCCACCACTCCTTGGGATTTTCAACCAAATTATCCTCAGATACTATAGCAGAGAGGTTGATGTCATTCACCCCGTCAAAGATGTAATATAGTTCAGTTACATTGGCCTGATTAGTAGTCTTCTTGGTTGTACTTCCGTGATCCTTCTTAGGGCGGCGGCAGTCAGAAGCTCGATGTCTAGTCTTGCCACAGTTATAGCATTTTCCTTTGAACTTTTTGTTGCCATTGTTGTCGCCTTGTTTAGGACCATCTCCAGTAAACTTCCTCTTTTTGTTATGTGGTTTATGAACTTGTTCAACCACATTAGCTTTGGACTCAATGGGATTTTTTCCATTCCTCTTTTCAGCCTTACGGTTATCTTCCTCAATTCTCAGTCTTACAATAAGTTCATCCATGGTCATCTCTTTGCGCTTATGTTTTAAATAATTTTTGAAATCTTTCCAAGTCGGTGGTAACTTTTCCACTAGAGCAGCGACTTGGAAAGACTCGCTAAAAGACATACCTTCTGAATGAATATCATGCAAAATTATTTGAAAATTTTGAACTTGAGAAATTACCGTTTGGGAGTACCATAACAAAGTCCAGAAATTTACTAACAACAAATTTCTTCGTACCGGCATCCTCTGTCTTGTATTTCTTCTCCAAAGAATCCCATAATTCTTTTGCTGACTTCAGAGGGCTGTAAACATTATACAACATGTTGTCAAGGCCATTGAGGCTGCAGTTTCTGCATAGGAAATCTGAATGTTTTCAAGCATCTATAGCGGCAACAACTTGCCGATCACTTTCACTCTCTTTAAGTGTTGGAGCCTCTTTATGGAGAAACCGAGCCAAATTTAGAGTTGTAAGATAGAACAGCATCTTCTGTTGCCATCTCTTAAACTCAGTACAGTTAAATTTTTTCGATTTTTTCTCCGTGATTTATTGGTACTTGAACATGGTTCTGGATAGAGACCGGTGTTGGTGTAACAATTGGAGTACCACTTCCAGTTGCAGTTTCAGTTGCAGTATCCATAATATCTTATTACAAAAATCAGAAAAACAAACCACAAATTAATTTTCTAGTTACTAAAATCAGAAAATAAATTATAACACAAAATAAATTTTATTTTCCTTATTACTAAAACCAGAAAAATAAAATACCACAATAATTTTCCGTACCACCAAATAATATTCTGCAATTGTTAATGACACCAGTATATTACTACTAGTTGTCAAAGAAAATAGACAGTATATTACTACTATCTGTCAAATAGTTTATAATACTATTTGTATTTTCCAACCAGAATATCACTTTGTGAAAACATAAAAAATTAAATACAATAAAGATGCAACAAATAATCTGTCTTAAGATTGTTGGACAATCTTCACTGTATTTGAAAAATAAATTTTGTTATGTACTAAATAACAAACAGAATATAAAAGAAATAAAGGAAATGAGAGAACTTGTTTGATTACAAAAATCAAACCAGAAAAATAAAATAAATTAAATGGATTTTATTTTGTTATAAAAAACAAAATTAAAATATGATTTAAATAAACAAATAAAACAGAAAAATAAATTAAACAACTTACTTGATTAATTTCTTCGAATAATAATCTGATCAAGTCTAGTGTTCGACGTTGTGTCCTTAAGACAGATTCGTCCTCTCCTCGGTGCTTTCAGAATATGGACGTCTATCTCCCAGGATGAAATGATCAACAACAAATAAATGTAGCACTGCAATTTATTTGTTCAACGAACACACTTAGTATATACGCTCTTTCTGGACAGGAAAAATAATGGAATTAATGCAACAAAAATGCAGAGATGATATTGCAGCAAGGAGGGACGAAAATTGGAATAGAAATCCAAATGAGGGACTAGTCTATTTATAGAGATGAAGTGGTGGCTTGGTGGCTGTTAATTTTGAATTAAACAGGTACAATACCTGTTCAATTTAAATTAAACAGATAGGCACTGTTTGGTTTGAATTTCAAACAATTCAAAAACTTGTTTTGGGTGGATTTGAATTTGAACAAAACAAATTCGGTTTGGACAAATTCGGATCTGTTTGTGAAGAGGTGCAACAATTTTGAATTCAAAAATTGAAATTTAAATCTGGACAGAAATTCGGAATGATTTTTAGACAACTTTTATTTCAAAAAATAAATCTAAATTCAAATATTTTTGGCCCAAAAAGATTAGTATTGGGCCGAACAAGCCCAACCCAACCTCACACTAGCGCCTGATCGGACAGATGATGGTGCGCGCGCGTTTGGTGATTTTTGGATCCAATGGGTCTAGCCCATTTTGCCCATAACCTCTCTCTCTACAAAACTTGGGTACCCTTTGGGGCACACTCCAAGTTCCAATCCCATACCTTATAAACCCATTCAAAACGTCCCATCAAATCAATGTTTGACAAGCCATTTTTCAACCTTAAGGAATTTCTACCAAAACTCCATTTCCATGGAGCACACTTTGGCTTCAATTTTTCATTCACTCAATAATGGTTTTGAGCAACCAAATATACCACGTGAATCACAACGCGGCATAGAACGCGTTACCATTTCAACCCGCCAACTTTGGCGTACGGGTCCCACCTAAATAATTGATCAAAGATAGGAAAAAATTCTATTTTACCCAGAATTTTTCCAACCATTTCCAACAGGGTTTGGATCAGGGAAAGCGATACTCGCCCCCGCGCCCACCCCCGTTGTGGGTGGCCAAATATAATCCACTCCCGCCCCACATAAGTGTCGGGGCAGGTAAAATCCGCCCCATTCAAGCAGGTATGGATGAGCCCCTGCGAATCGGATTTAAATGGCCATCCCTATCTCAACCCATTTAAACTCTCTTGAGTTGCACCCGTACAATAAGTATACAAGTATCATTTTCATTTGACATTTGATGAGAAAAATAGAAAATAACATTTGTTCTATTGAAATAAGATTATCAAATTATGTACTTTTTATATTGAAACCCTAGCCTAGACTTTACTTAAGAAAAAAAAAAAACAATATTTTAAATTCATTTTACTCATGGATCTGACATTTTATCTAATTTAATTTTGACCACACAAATAAATTCAGAATAAATTATAAATTGATAAGAGTGGGATCATAACATTTTTGAGAAGAAAATATGAAATTTTTTGACTTTTAGCATGAATTGAATTAATGAATCCACTTCTATACAATTGAAATGTGAATACAATACATGAACTGTAGCCCATCCGACCCAAAAGAACAAAAAACCTAGCCCACACAATTGAGTCAATAGCCCACACAATTTCCAGCCCTAGACGGCCCACCGTTACACATTCATGACTATAAACCCTAGCCCTCACTTCATTTCGCCGTCTTTACCCACGCAAACCCTAGTTGGAGCTCAGGAGGAAGATCTGCCGCCGCAGAGGAACCGAAGCAGAAGCAGAAAATGGAGGCTGCGAGAACTGTGAAAGATGTCTCTCCTCACGAGTTCGTCAAGGCCTACGCCGCTCACCTCAAGCGCTCCGGGAAGGTCTCTCTCTCTCTCTCTCTCTCTCTCTACATATATATATTATGTTAAAGTTTTGTCTTTACTGTTTGATTTCCTTTGCTATGCTGATTCAATTACACAACAGGTTTAAGATTTTGAAAACTGGATGCTTTTTTTTTTAATATGTTTGGTTTTTTTTTTGTTTTTTTTATTTTGCATGATATGATTGAATCACTCCATGGTTCTCTACTGTTATGTTTGTTTTGTTGAGGTTCATGAATTTAGGGGTGTTCATGGACCAGTTTGGTTGGGTTATGAGGTAAATCAGGAATCAAACTAGTCTATTAGGAACCAAAAAAACCTTGAAATAATCGAACCAGAGTTTTTGTATTGTTCAATGATTCCATGTTACAAAATTCATTATTATGTTGTGTCTATCTTATTTAATGAATTGATTTTACTTATAGAAATTCCCCAAAAAAATTAATTACTTCAAATTTCATTATATAATTCTTACTAATTTTAATAAAATGTGTATTGACACAAAAAGTTATTCATATTTTGTACTAAATACTATAAAAATGTAATTCACTATAATATTGGAGTCGTAAAAATCATGTAAATATTAAAAGAATATACATAAACATATATATCTTTATTCATAGAGAAAACACCTTACAAATTAGGAAGACATAATGAGATTGGGGTTCAAATTAATATAAAAAAGGAAAGGAATGGTTTGGCTTTCTTTATTTACTTTTTTCCAAGTATTCATGCATGAACCAAGTTACCAAATCATAAACAATTGTTTTTAATTACTTACCGTCCAGATTGGTTATGGTTTCATTGTTTTTTTTAAAACACCCCTACATGGATTAGCATTTCAAGGTAGTCTCAGAACCAAAATTGTTTCTTGATGATGAGAATCAAACCAAGAAGATGATCGGAGCTGCGACAAGTTCAAGAGGTACCAATGTTAGTTCCTTGATGGGTGCATTTTGACGCTGAATTCACTGCACCATCATAGTGGACATATCAATGGAGAGATTGTATGAGTGATGACATACCTTAACTTGTAGGCAAGGTTTTAAAAAGCGGCCGCAACAGTTACGTAACGGTTGTGGTGGTTTCTGCCACCCATTATGGCCGCTATAGCGGTGTGATGGAAATTCACATGTGTAACGGCCGTAGCGGTATTATAACAGTCCGTTAGACACCGTTATACCATTTTACAATATTCTGAATAGCTTCTTTTTTCCAAGAAAAACAAAAGTTTATAAAAAAAGAACAAATACTCAAGTGATCCAAGCCCAAAGAAAAAATCTTATATGAATTTTTTTTTCTTTATAATTTTTTTTTTAAAATTTATGGCACAATTTTTATTTTATAATCGTTTCATTTAATAATTATGAATATTTATTATTCAGTTAGTTCAGGTGTTGGTAAAAAATAATTTGTAGACATTTAAAATCAATTATTCTTAAAATCATTAACTATTGAATCAAAATGTTAAAAGCTCCTTTTGTAGTGATTTGAAAATATGAAATATATTAGATCATACTTAAAAATTAATAAAAATTGATCAAAATTTATTTTAAACCCCAATAAATGTGATTTTGAAAAGAAAAAAATATATATATGTATCGGTAAGTTTTTTCAAATTGTGTGAAAAATAAAAAAAAAATTGTTCCGGTTACCGCAATTATTACGCTACGGCTTTTACAACCTCCAATCGCTACCGTGTTACCGCAACCGCAATTGCACCGCTTTTCAAAACCTAGCTTGTAGGAGTGTGGGTGTGTATATAGGTTAGTATTCCTTGGTGAGTCATTCTAGATGACTACATGAGCATGTTTTGGAATATTCTTACTGAAGTTATTAGATTATTATCCTTCTGGAAATGTCACCATCTCCAACACGTGGTCTTTTTTATCATGCCATGTGGAATTATTAAGAACGTTTGGTCTTTTTTTACAAATTTTTACTCTTGGTGAGTCATTCTATTTTTATGTAGTCATCTAGAATGACATGGTCATCTATCTCACTTATATAAACACTCACCCCACCACGAGTTAATGTGTGCCATCACTTATTACACTTTGATATTTCCTCTATGATGACTTGAGTGTCTGAGTGCCCTCAAATTTTTGTTTCTTCTACGTTTGATTCTCATCATCAACTAGTAGGGGTATGATTTATTAATCAACACTTCAACAAGTTTCAAATAAATATCCCAACATTTACTTTTGAAAAGCGATTGCGATTGTCGTAATGATTGTGATTACAATTGTGAAGTCTAAAAGTCGCAGCTTAACGATTGCAGTAGTTGAAATCGTAATTTTTTTTATATTTTTAGCATAATTTGAAAAAAAACTTACCAATATTTATATTCCAGAATTACATTTATTGGAGTTTAAAATATATTTTGATCAATTTTCGTTAATTTTTAGATATGATCTAATATATTTCATATTTTTAAATCACTATAAATTGAGTTTTTTACATTTTATTTTAATAATTAATGATTTTATATTATACAAAAAATCAATCATTAATTATTATATATAAGATAAATAATGTCAAAAGTAAGAATAAACAAGGGTTGTTTGGGGTGTCCTAAATAAGTGTATTTTTTGTCTTTTTAGACTAAAAAATTGAGGAAAAAAAATATGGATATTTAGGTTAATTAATTTAAAAGAAGGGCAAAATAGAAAATTTACATTGTTTTTGTACTTGATTTTTGAAGAATGACTAATATTTTGGGACAATGAAAAATAGAATAAGGGACTAATATTTTGGGACAGAGGGAGTATTTCATATTTTTAAATCACTATAAATTGAGTTTTTTACATTTTATTTTAATAATTAATGATTTTATATTATACCAAAAATCAATCATTAATTATTATATATAAGATAAATAATGTCAAAAGTAAGAATAAACAAGGGGTTGTTTGGGGTGTCCTAAATAAGTGTATTTTTTGTCTTTTTAGACTAAAAAATTGAGGAAAAAAAATATGGATGTTTAGGTTAACTTTTTGACTTTTTATGAAAAAATGTGTATTAAAAAATTGTATAAATTAGTTTGGTAACATGCCCCACCATCGAGGGAAAAATTAGGATTGGGAGTCGTGCAGTTATAATTTTTGACTTTGGGTGAATAGTGATAACTTTTTAACTTTTTGAGTAACTTTTTGACCTTTTGACTTTTTTTCAACTTGCCAAACTTGGCCTAAAAGCCTATATATATATTTATCAAACCAAATAGATAATGACTACACTTAGGGGTTGTTTGTGGTGTCCTAAACAAGTGCACTCTTTGCTTTTTGGACTAAAAAGTTGAGGAAAAAAATATGGTTGTTTGGGTTAATTTTTTATGAAAAAATGTGTATTAAAAAATTATATAAATTAGTGTGTAATTATTATTATTATTATTATTATTATTATTATTATTATTATTATTATTATTATTATTATTATTATTATTATTATTATTATTATTATTATTATTATTATTATTATTATTATTATTATTATTATTATTATTATTATTATTATTATTATTATTATTAAACAATATATAGATAGGCACATATAAACAAAATGATTGAGTGATAGCAACTAAATAGAATAGCATAGGTCTTACAACTTCAACAAATCAATAACATGTTCTTCATCTTCCCTATTCTCTCTCTCTATCTCTTGCTCCTCCATCTTCCCTCTTCTCTCTCTATCTCTCTTTCCCCATTTTCAACCTTTTTTTTTTATTTTTTTTGTGTTTTTTCGAAAGAAGCAATTCGGAACCGTTACGTAATGGTTTACAGCACCGTTACGACCGCTATAGCAACCGCTACAGCCGATAAACCTGTGAATTTCAATCACACTACAAAAGTGGCCGTAACGGGTGGCGGTAACTACCACAACTGTTACATAACGTTACGTAATGGTTGCGGCCGCTTTTTAAAACCTTGGTTGGGATTAATCATCAAAGTTAGGTGCTGGAATGATGAACTGGGTAGTGCTTTCTAAGTATATTTGATCCGTTTTAACTTCATAACTTATTAATATTTCTCTTAATTTTGACCCAAGATCTACCTGGCCTGCATATTGGAATCCATTTCTGCTTCTCTATCATCAAATTTGAAGTTAATAGTGGTGCTATTGTATTGTATGTATTAGAGGGATTTGGATTTTAAAATATTGTACTGCTATTTGTATTTGGTCTGGTGGCTTGAAATTGTACTTTTTCCTGATATTATACCAACTCTTCTGGCTTTTTTACTCATTCTAATTAGAGGACACCAATCGACCATTGTAAAATTCTTCTACCATGAAAGTGGCAGCTAACTTGGCTGGTAAAGTCTCTTGGTGGTGATACCAGGATTGAATCGAGTCGTTCTAGGTTGGTGGGTTATGGGTAGGGAAACTCTCTCTTCCCCATCACTGTTTGACCTGGGGGTTAAAAAAAATGTAAAATGGTTGATGGGATTTTCATTCTGTTGCTGTTGAGTTTCCTTAGAAAAAGTCGTTTTTAGTCATTAAGTCATGAGATCCAATATTAGGTCAACTGTTTAAAGATGTGAACAAAAAGAAGCTTATGAGAGAGAAACAGTTTTGAGGTTGGCAGTGATGACTTTATGATCTGTTAGTAAGATTGTTTTAGGTGCCATGCTTCCATCTCACCTGCACGTTCTTGTATCATTTTTTCCCCATTTTTATTGCACAGGCCAGTGTTTCTGATAAGATACTTAAAATCTAAGAAGCTACTAATTTGGAAATCTTCAAGTTTGTGGTGGTTGACACTATCACTAATTTACTTTGTTCTATTGCTTACTAATTGCCAATGGTACTACAAATTTATGGAAACAGTGACCCAACATCTTGAAACCGTCAAAAACGCCGTGTGGTTTGCTGAAATGAACTAACTTTATCTATAATTTATGTTGCTTGACATTAGATTTCTGATTGGAATGTCTCTGTGGGTTTCGGATGCAACATGATCATTGGGTGATGGTACAATATTTTTTTGTTATAAGTTAGAAATTGTCAAGACCAGGCTACTGCAAGGCAGATGAATAGTTACCATAATTTTATTTTGCGGTCCTTTCTCATGTTACCTTTTGATATTTCTTTTGTTTTCTGATAGATGGAGCTTCCTCACTGGACTGACATTGTGAAGACTGCAAAATTCAAGGAGCTTGCCCCATATGACCCTGATTGGTACTACATTAGAGCTGGTGTGTGATTCTTTTTTTTACCTTTTTCCTCTATCTAAACTGCATGCAGACATGCATATGCATTATTGACCATTCTATATATCGTACTCAATATAGCCTTGATTTTGTTGGCAGCTTCTATGGCTAGGAAAATCTACCTTAGAGGCGGTCTTGGTGTTGGTGCTTTTCAGAGGATATATGGAGGGAGCCAGAGGAACGGGAGTCGCCCACCCCATTTCTGCAAGAGCAGTGGAGCCATTGCACGACACATCCTCCAGCAATTGCAGAACATGAACATTGTTGACTTTGACTCCAAGGGGTGAGTTTCTTTTATACATCTTTTGGCTTCATGATTCATAGAGTGTAGCGAGTTCAAATTTTTGGAAGAGTAGGGGCTAAGCAAAACTCGGTTTTTGGACTGCCTGTTAGTTATAATTGTGTTAGGAAGTCGTTATCTTTATTTTTTGTATTTAAGTTCTCTTTTCTTATTTTTATATTATATATATATATATATATTATATAACAATCTGTTAGAATGAGTGCTTTATTTATTGAAACATTGTGGTTGTGCATCAGTGGGAGGAAAATCACATCAAGTGGCCAGAGAGATCTTGATCAAGTTGCCGGAAGGATTGTTGCGGTGGTTGCTCAATGAGAGAGAGAAAATCGAGTGCCTTTATGCGTACATTAAATACTCTGGATTTATAGTAGTAGTTGTTTTGGATGAGAAGAGTATATTTGGAGTACTGTTAAAATCAATTTTCTGCTTGGTTGCATGGTGCCCCTACGTTGAACATTGGCTGTTTGTTATTTTTGGATTCATTGTTCTTGTTGACTCGTGTTTTTTCAATTTTCCGTAGTTCCAAAACCGTTTTTATTTTGGTGTTATTCTATTCTTGTTTGCCTACTTATAGTTCTACACTTGGGAATGTTTTGTTTCAACCTAAGAATGTTTGTGCCATGGGACAAAACTCTATAGCTTTTTCTTGTAGCTTACCATTCTTCTGATTTGGTTTAATAATGTATCCCCCCACTTAAATAGATTGTCATCTTGTCCAATTGTGCTGCTGCCTAACCCTAGTGTAGTCTCATATTGCTTGAAAATATAATGTGTTTTTGGTTTTAGTTTTTTGAATTAAGGTTTTTGAAAATTATTTTTTTTGTTTTTTTTTTTTTGTATTTTTAGTAAATATTTTTAAAATTTTAAATATTTTTTTATTTTTTTTAGTTGCATCTTACTTAGATGTATCTAAAATTTATAAAAATAAAATATTTTAAAAAATTATTAAATATATAAAAATATGAAAAAATATATTGAATTTTTGTATTTTTGGTATTTATTGAATTTTTAAAAGCTTTTGATCATAAAAATTATATTTTTTATGTGTATTTATGTTAGATGTGTTTAAAAAATTTTAAAAAATTATTTAAATTTTTTTTAAAAATTCAGTAAAAATAAAAAATAAAAAAAATGAAAAAGTAGAATTTTTTAAAAAGTGTTTTTGAAAAATAAAAAACTAGCAAGGTGGGTTTTTAGTGGCATTTTATTTATTGTTTGTAAACCTTTTTAGCCATAGGCCAAAAGTTTTTAGGCTTTTTAATTTTTTGTCCTTGACTATAGCAATTAGGGATGTTTGCGGTTCGGATTTGGACGGTTTGCAAATCGGTTTGGACCTATCTGCAGTGCGGTTTGTGGTTTGTGTGGATAGGGTTCGTGGATGTGCCGGCGGTTGCGACCAGTTTGCAGATTGGACTTTTTTCTTCAAAAAATTATTTTTGAGCCTTATTTTTTTTTCATTTTGTAAATATTTATTTCGGGCCCCTTTCTCCCCATTTTCTAAAATGCTCCAACATTAATAATTAATGAATTAAAATTTATAAAATTAAAAACACAACAAAACCAATCCGTAACACAAACAAATCATTCAAAATCTTAAATCAAATCATAAACTAACACAAATACATATTTCAAAATCCTAAAGTAGAACTCTATATTCATTAAGGAATTTAAAATTCCAAATCACATTTCATCCGGGACAAATTCAGTTATGTAACAATAATAATATGATCAGTATTTATTCAGTTTCAGTTGATATAATATTATTAGCAAATGTAATGCTAGAGTAAGTTCAAAGAATAAATGGTGTTTTGTTTTAGGTAAAAATATATTGGTAGAATATAGGAACGAAATCAATGGTTAAGACAAAAAAAATAAAAATAAAAAAAGTGCGGGCGGCCTTTTACTGGTGCGGGTTAAACCTGCAACCCACAAATATGTCATATTTCAAATTGCATCCGCCCGCGAAACCGTCCATTTATAAGCAAGATGGGTGGATTAGACTGTTTTTACGAATCGGATAAGCCGTTATCCATCCCTGACAGCAACCTAGGGTCCAGTCTGTTAGTAATTTTGAAGTATTAGAGGTCCCTCCTCAGGTTTTGGTCGGTCCTCTATTGAATGCTGATCTTCTTGGGGTCGTGTCGTGTTCATCGTACCCTAGCTTTTTTTTGTTGCTATTCTCTTTTGCCTTGTACTGAAAAAAGATGGAAAAAGACAGCCCCTTGCTTCATAAAAGCACATTGCTCCATGGTTGCATGGGCTCATAAGTAAAGGAAAATGTTAACATGAGAACTTGTTTTTGTATATGTAAAAGGTGTATATAAAAAATATGGTAAGCATATGAAAATATATAAAATATGTATTAAAGATAATTTTTTATTTATTATTTAATCCCTGACAAAAGTTGGTTAGATGGTCGGTAACTGATATCTTGTTTATTTATGTTTGGTTCATTTTAATTATTCATAAAAATAACTTTACATGTTCATTTGTAATATTAACATGCATTTATAACATTTCTTGAAAATAGTCTTTTTGTAACCTTTTGCCTTGTTCATTTTAATTTTTCATAAAAATAACTTTACATGTTCATTTGGAAAATTGTTTGGTTTGTATTTGTAAAGTAGTTTTTGAGATAAAAAGTACGAAAACTTGTTTAGTTTGTTTTTTTTCAGAAATGGTATTGGAAAATTATTTTGGGAGAGGGAGTTTTCAAAAAAGTGATTGATTTGATGTGCATGACAGAGAGAGTAATTTTGGAAAGTAGGTAACCAAACAAAATTTTGAGATTTTTTGTGAAAAAATTTGTTTGGTTTGATTACTCTTGAAAATTTGTTTGTAGAGAATTTGTCACGACCCAAACCCGCCCCCATAGGTTTAGCATCGTAACCGGCCAGTAATCCTTGGATTACCAAAGGCCTCTGAATAGATTAGCAAATAATAGGGGTTGCGGAAGCAATAATACAAAAATATAGTTGTCCAATGAGCTGTGCTGATTTATATGAAACAGAATATTTAAAACTTTATATACATAGTCAAAAGTCAATCATACATTATACCCACACACATTAAAGTATCTAAAGTACAACCAACAAAATTACATCAAGTCGTATATATACATAGGACCAACAGAACTTGGAACACAGGACACTTTAGGAACCTCTACGTAAGGCACAATGGCTGGCTAACAACAAAACACAGATCCAGACAAAAAGTCTCCAGACTTGAACTCCGGAATACTCACCTATACATATATATATATATATATACAAACAGTGAGTGAAAACCCAGTGAATAACATTAAGGTAAAGGGGTTAGTGAACGAAATCTGAACATATCATAAGCAGAAAACAGATCATAGCATAATCATTCTCATATCATAACATAATAATGGTACATCCCATAGAACACATCACAGAACATCTTCCGACTAGAGTTATCGGTTCCGGATACCGATTAAACACATATCACCACAATGAAATGGTTAACGAGATCTCGTAATTACTTGTATGTCATGGATCCGCATTTTTATGCCGTCCCCCATGACTTGGGACTATCTATGGATGCCATAATAGATTTCAAATATGGAATATTCGTTCACGAAAACAGATATCATTTCAGAAATCGTAGCTTATCACATTTTATTTGAAACATAATTTCATATAAACGTATCTTTACGATAACGTTACTCACAGTGGTTCTCACAAACGGTTAATCAATCTTCAGATGTTGACCTACAATCACAAAAGTACATAACACAACATATCTCGTTATTGCACGTTCACATGGCCAGCACAGCTTAACTTTCATTACATTGGTTCTTGTTCATACTTAGCACATTGATTAAAACATGCACACACTTGCAGTCTCGGAACTTGGTACATTATTTTCTTTGTGTGTTTATGATCCATAACCTCATTATCAAAGCTTAATTAAGGCTTAAGAATGCCTAAGATGCAATGAGAATGCCAAAACATGAGTTAGAACACTTAAGCAAAATTTCTGAAAATAAGGTCCCCGCTCGAGCGTAGACTTCCTCGCTCGAGCGGACATGCAAAATGAGAGGGGTCGCTCGAGCGCACATTTCTTCGCTTGAGCGATCTGTAAACGACATGAAATTTCTAGAAGCTTGCAATTTACGCTCAAGCGGGCTTTTGGTCGCTCGAGCGGAGTGCACGCAATCAGAGTGGTCGCTCGAGCGTGGATGCAAATTCTAGAATTTCCAGATTTGAACACCAAGCTCAAAACTCGAATTCAACCATCCAAAACACATCTCTTGGGCCCCAAAACTTGAGATAACATAGTAAACGTGTAAAACATGAAGAATTTAGGATCATTTCATAAAATCATGGCCCAAAGGTTTGTTAAAAACTCACAATTTCAACTTGAAATTCAAAAAACAAGCATGCATGTAAAATCGTTTCTTCAAACTTCATAAAACTAGTAAATTGAGCTCAAAGGCTCCATGCATGAGGGAAATCCTTTTCAAAACATGGATTTAAGCTTTAAAATATGATGAATTACACATGCATGTGCCAAATAACTCATGATAACAACATAGATGCCCAAAATCAAACTTAACATGTCAAAACTCCATGTATTCATGCATGCATGTATGAATGGTAACTCAAATCTTTATCCTAGGCTCAATATACACATTTAAACTCACAATCTACATGTTAATAACTTAGATTCATAAATTTAGGAGTTGAATTCATACCTATAGTCTTGAATTCATACCTATAGTCTTGAATTAGTCTAGCTCTTGCACAAAATTGATGAACTCAAGTAAAATCTTCAACTTCTTCTTTTAATCTCTCATTCCCTCTCTCTAGAATTGCACTCTCCCTCTCAAGATGTAATCTCAGATTTTTCCACTCAAGGGAAATGAAAGGAAATGAGCTCAAAGAGCTAAATGTGATGCATATATAGTTATGATGATATAATGCAATAATTAGAATATTAAACCAACCAAACATGACTTAATTAATCAGACTAAAACAATTTTTAATAAAATTAGTCACAAGGTTCTAAAAATTCCAAATAACATATTGATGTAATCAATTTCGGTTTCGGATGCCAATAAGGCTTTCAATTTACATATTAAGCGGAAAATCCAAACAGATATTTCTACAGGCAACAGATAGAAAGCCAAATATCATGCAAAATACAGAATAAAACACATAATTTATTTTAATTCTCTCATTAGTATCATTGATTACGGATTAGTGGCTAATTACAGATCGAGGTTATTATAGAATTTTTCTCAAATTTTTTTTTTAAAAAACAATCCAAACAAGGCACATTTCTTGAAATTGTAACCTTTTGCCTTAAAATTTTGACTTCAATTGTTTTTTTTTTAAAAAAAGAATTACAATTTGTTTGAGTTGACACTGGTTTTTTAAAATTGTTTTTTTAAAAAATATATTGTTATCATTAAAAAAAGAATAAATTACATATACCTCCCTCGAAGTTTAGCTAAATTAGAGATATTCCCGAGGTTTCGAAAATTGCAGATACTCCCATGAGGTTTATATTTTCATAACAAATTATCCCTTGAGGTTTATATTTTCATAATAAATTACCTCCTAATTTATCATATAAATATAATTTTTAGAGAATATTTATAATTTTTCAAACTACAAAAAAAAAATATTTATAATTTTACTAAATCTTGAGGGTATATGTAATTTACCCTTAAAAAAAAGAGTGAATGGGTTTGGGATAAGGGCTAGACTTTTTTCAGTTCACACGTGGACAAGAGTGCTAGACCGTGAATCTCACTGAAGATTTTATTTTTATTTTGGAGAGATGTAATAATTTGAAAAGGTTGTGATTATCCATCTAATTCTTTTTATCTATCTATACTATTATAAAGTGAACAGGAATTTTGGTGTCCTGAAGTTTTACTCTCCTCATGCCATGTGGCAGTATTTTTTATCTTTTAAAAAAAAAAAAAAAGTTAAACAAAGAGATGGGCAACACTTAAGCTAAGTATACATTATAATATTAATTTCATTATTATTTTTTTTATTCCTACTTATTTAAATTGCACACACATCGTGTGTGCCACCCACTAGTACTATTATAAAGTGAACACATAATATGGTGTCCTGAAGCTTGCTTTGCTTTACTCTCCTCATGCCATGTGGCAGTATGTTTTATTTTTAAAAAAAAAGTTAAACAAAAAGATGGGCAAGGCTTGAACCCATGACCATAGATTTAAGTACGAAGACTCATACCACTTAAGCTAAGTACACATTACAATATTAATTTCATTATTATTTTTTTATTCCTACTTATTTAAATTACACACACATCGTGTGTGCCACCCACTAGTAAATAATATATTTGAACAATTTAAATGGAGCAACATTCCCTCCGGTTATTTTCAGTTTTCATAATTTACTTTTTAAAAAATTTTACTTTTCTATTTTTTTGTATTTTTACTAAATTTTTTAAATATTTTAAGCAATTTGTTTAACTTTTAGATACACCTAACATAAATACATTTAAAAAACATAATATTTGTAAAAAAAAAATTAAAAAAAATTCACTAAATACTAAAGATACAAAAAATAAAAAATAAAAAACTAGTACATTTTTCATATTTTTGTGTGTTTATTAATTTTTTAAAAATATTTTTCATAAATAATTTACTATTTAGATACATCTAAGTAATGTACATCTAAAAAAGTAAAAAAAAATTGTTTAAAATTTAAAAAATATTCACTAAAAAAAACACGCAAAAACAAAAAACTCAATTTAAAAAAAACTGAATTCAAAAAACTAAAACTAAACACACTGATTATTATTCTATAACTATTTTATACCGTTCATTGCTAAATTATATTATAACTTTAGCTATTCATTTTATGTATCCACCATTAGAGTTGGTCTAATATGTAAAGTGTCAATTGATAAAAGATAATCAGCTTGTTTGGTTTCACTTTTTAAAAATTAAATTTTTTTATTTTTTATATTTTTTTATTTTTACTGAATTTTTTTAATATTTTAAAAGATACACCTAATATAAATATATTTAAAAAGTATAATATTTGTGAAAAAAAATCTTTAAAAAATAACTAAATACCAAAAATATAAAAAAATGCAAAGATTCAGTATATTTTCGTATTCTTGTATATTTATTGATTTTTTAAAATATTTTGTTACAAATATTTTATTTTTTAGATACATCTAAATAAGATGTATCTAAAAAAATAAAAAAATTACTTAAAATTTGAAAAATATTCACTAAAAAAAAAATATAAAAAAAATAAAAAAACTTAATTTTCAAAAAATTAAAACCAAATACAATGAATGCTATCCATATAAAAGTTATAATATTTGCGATTCAACCATAATTTAAAAAAAAAAAATGAATTATAACTAAATAACATATGAGATATAATTAATTTAAAAAAAATTATGATTGAAATAATTTCATAATCAATATCATAATAAATCACAACTCACCATAATCAAATCATAATTAAATTATAACTAAGAGCTGTTTTGGCATGTTTAAAAAAAAGTTAAAAAGTTAAAAAGTCAAAAATTCAGTATCTTATTTAAGTCACATTATTTTACTTAAATCACATCACTTTTTTAATACATAAATTCAAATCCAACTTATATTTCATAAAAAGTTAAAAAATACACTTATTTAGATCATTCCAAATAAACACATAAGAATAGGTGATAAAGGGTTGTAATTTGGATATATATGGTGCACAAGGTTTGTACCAGTTCTCCATTGGTAAACAGAAAGACGATTATTGTCGAAGAATAATGTTTGGGATCCCTTTTGGGGGTCACCCCCTCACCCCCTTTGCCACGTGGCAGGAGGTGATTAGAGGAGCAGGAAAAAAAAGAAAAAGAAAAAGAAAAGGTAATCAATGAAAGTGAGAGGGGGTCAAAGGGGGTGAGGGAAAAGGGGATGAATCATTACTCATTATCGAATTAACACCGCATAATTTCTCTAGACCCATACCGCTGTGTGAAGAAGTCAGCACGTGTCAATGTCGGAAAAATTACACGTTAAGCTGTCTGCTATCAGATCGAATCCAACCACCCAGTGGGAACCCCCTAACTCTCTCTCTCTCTCTCTCTGCCGACTGATCGCCTTCTCTTTTCGCCACGTGTCCACGCCCTGGCGGAATCTCATTCGATTTTCGTCTAGACTCTCCACCTAACACCATCCAATCCGATGATTCATCGATTCTATTAATTAATATATCAATTATTGTTATTGTTATTGAGCCTCCGTTGGAGAGTGGGTTGACTTTTTAATTTTTTTAATTATTTTAATTTGGATTAAAAATTTAGTTTTAGAAAGGTTTTTTAAATTTTTAATTTTTTTATGAAAAAATAATGTAATGATTATAAGTTAAATATGATGTTTTGTTTATTATAACTAAAATAATCAAAAAAACTCTTGCCAAACGAAACATGATTTTATTTATTAAATAAAGAGTAACGGTGGACTATATATATCACCAACATTAATTACGGTATTATTACTAATTCCATTCATTAATTATATTATAAATATTAAAATTTTCTTAAATTATATCACATCATCGATTGATACACTAGTTAGTACACGAATTGATGCATATACCATTATTCAAATAGTAATATTATATACATCAATTAATACATTAATTAATTTACTAATTGATGATGTGACATAATTTAAGATATTTTTAGTATTTGTAATTTGTATAATGAGTAGTGTTAATAATAATGCCATAACTAGTGTTGGTATACTAGTTAATACACTAATTAGTGCATGTAACATCACTCATTATAGAAATTACAAATACTCAAAATCTTTAAAATTGTGCTACATCATCCGTTAGTATACTAATTAGTACATATAGTATTATTCTTGTATTAAATTTAAATTTAATAAAAATATATATTTTTCGGTGGTATTACATGCACCAATTAATGGAGTTGAGATTCTCTCATTGGGCTTTTTCCTTATCTCCCTACTTGCAATGGTGGAAATGCATTTTGAGTTGATCTAACGATTCAGATTTGACTATTTAAAAATAATAAAATAATCAAACAAATTTAAATTTGTTTTTCCCATCCAAATCTGGACAGTTGGACCAACTCCTTTGGATGTGTTTGATTGGGGGATAAGGGGGGATTATTTACTGTACGGATTGTAATTCGCACAGTAAATCCAATCCGATGTTTGTTTTTTTTTTAGTCCACCGGACATGGAGTCCGGCCGGACTCCTTATCCCCCATATAGGGGATTATACTATCCTAGGGGGGGTGTGGGACAATTTTGGGGAGATTATTTACTGTTGGGATTAGGTGGTGAAATGACTATTTTGACCCTCTACTATTTAATTATGTATTATATTTAGTAAAATTCAATAAAATTTAAATGTCTCAATTTAAAAATAAAATAATTTTATTTAACTTTTTATTGATGTTTTATTTATTTATTTTAAATAATTTTTTATAGATATTTTATTTTAAAATTTTGTTTATATTTTATTTAATTTCATTATTTAAATGTTAATAGATGTTTTATTTAATTTCATTGTTTAATTATTATTATTTTTAAAAACAAATTTATTTAAAATTTTAATTAAAAAAATAATATAAATTTTATTTAATTGTGTAAAAAATAAAATAAAATAAATTTTTATTTAATCTAGTTAAAAATAATTAAAATATTAAAGATATGCTTAATATTGCTATTACTTAGTAAACAATTGAAAAATGGTAAAATAATCTTTTGTTCATTTATCATATCCAGTCCGTCCAATCAAACGTTGGATTCACTAAAAATAGTCCTTTCCAGACATTTAATCCCATGAAAAAACAAATACATGATATATATCCAATCCAACCAAATAGTCGAGGGGATTCACAGTCCAGGACTCAAGTCCGATGGATTCTAATTCCCTTATCCAGTCCATCTAATCAAACACACCCAAAATATATATCCACCATTGCAAGTAGGGAGGTAAAGAAAGAGTCCAAGGAGAGGATCTAATATATAAATATATTGTTATATCATTATTACTGACCCCACTTATTACGTAAATTATAAATACTAAAATTTTTAAAATTATACCATATTATCTATTAATATACTATTTAATACATTAATTAATATATATAACATAATTTTTTGACTTTAATAATTTTATCAAATTAATATTAAATCAAAAATATTAAAAATCTTTCACCAAAGAGATGTGCGAAAGTTTTCATTAAAGTCTCATCTTTAAATAAAAATTTATAAAAAAATATATACTAACCGATCGACCAACCAGATGTTTGTCCGATCCACCGCTGTTTTGATGAAAATCCATGCTCTAATCGAATCTTCATCTTCACAAAAATAAAACAAAGAACTAGAAATTAATACAATCAAAAACGCAAATCGAAAAATAAAAGCATTTTGCTTTACAGTTTCATATACAACAAACAAGAACATTCTTGAATTCTCTGATTCTTGCTTCATTTCGAATTCCTCCTCTTTTTCTCTCTTCTCTCTCTCTCTAGGGTTTGCCTCATCTCTCTCGCTCACTGATTCCTCGCAAACTGCTATCGTAAGTGTTCTCTCTCTCTCTCTCTCTGATCTTTTCCCTCTCTTGTTTCTATTGAACATTTGAGAGGTGGTGTATATGTATGTGTGTATTGAAATCGTTGTTTAAGAGCATTTCCAAGTTTTGTGCCGATTAAATTTGAATAATCAAATTGATAAGTAAGTAGTAGTTGAGCATTTCAGTTGATATGTGATGCAAACCAAAACTAGTGATGGCGTTGTCATGATCCGATGATGAACAAGTTATTAAGGTGCAATTATATTGCTTTTTTGTTTTAGTTATGTTCTGATTAAAGTTTTACTTGAATTGGAACTGTTATATATTATTGGGCAACGAAGACAATTACCCCCCAAAAAAAAAAGAAAAAGAAAGAGGGGGAGTTTTGAATTTTTGAAAATGGTGCTCAATGGGGCAAGTTTACAATTTATTGAAAAATGCTCAGTTTGGATGTGTCTAATAGTTTTTCCATATTTAGAGATGTTATTCGGCGCCCTCGTAACTTAGATTACTCGATGCAAAGCTCCGAGTGTAATCATGGTGATGTTCTGCAACATAGTCCAGGCTGCCTTTACTGACTTTTCCTTCAAAATTGTCGTTATTTTTCTGACTTTTGTTGCTGCTCATCTCCTAGTGTATTGGTGCTAAAAGATAATCAAGGGGTTAGTATTTCGCTTTTGAGTGATGTCATAGTTTTGAACTTCTGAAGTATTGCAAGTAGCAGTATATTATTTTTTTACTTCATTCTTACAATTATAGTTTAAAAAAATAAAATAAAATTATGGGGCCGTTGTGTTATTAACTGTTGAGGATTTAAAGAATAAAATTGCCCTTATCTTTAAAAGCTTAATTAGATGAGTTGGTAGTTAACAACTCAACATGATACCAGAGCAAGCAATAGATCTTGATCTTGTGTTCGAATTTCACCCCATCTCTCTAACAGCTTATGCTTGTGGATGAGTTGGTGGTTAACAATTCAACACTAACATCCAACAAGGATTTGTGGTTGCAAACATTGAACATTTTGTAATTAATTATTATTTTCCAATACATTCACTTCTGCTTGAGACTTTTTTAAGTTTGTAGTATAGTTTTAGATCTTGTCACAACTTGTATGTTATTCTTGATTACTTGTTCTCTTTATACAACATAAGTTAACTTTATTTTTATTGAGAATTTTTATTTCATATATTTTGTTTCAATTTTCTAATCCTTTCCTGTGATTGACAAATTTTAATAGAAATTTCATTTAGGCTTGTGTCTAGTTTCATTGAAATTGATTTTGTGAAAGTTCTTCTGAATATCTAAAATCTTGCGCAGGGAGGTTGGAGATTTGTGAGAAAGTTGCTAAATTTAGGAAGCCTGAACCGAGATTACAAGTCATCAGCTGACACCTTTGCTAGGAGGTTCTTCATTGTTGGCGGAAAAATAAGTTTTAACAGCTAGAGTAAATTGTATTTCTGAATTGAGTATCATAAACTCATATTCCTTTCATGTTACATTCACAAGTTTTATGCAAATTTGGACACAGTGACTGCAATCCTTTCTTGGTAGATGCACTCGGGCATAAATTTGCTACTCAAGCAAGTAAATTCACCAATTATGTTCCAAGTTATCTGTTTGTTTTGTTGACATCTTCTATCTTATGGAATCATGATGAATCATATTCTGTTGGGGTGCTGAACTAGACTCCTGGGCATAATTCTTGTTTTTGTTTTTGTTTTGTTTTGCAGATAATTGTTATTTGTCCTTACTCTGCATTCTTCTCCAGATTTAGGAGTTGTTATCAGCTTCAAGAACTGATGTTTGGGTCTTCAGGGAATTAAAGGATGTTATTTGAATGGATTTTGTCTTTGGTGTCTCTGAAAAGAAAGGATAAAATGGTCACATTTATTACATTTCTCTGAAGTTTGTTGGACTCTAAAGTGATTCTATATAACTGAATGCTGGATAATAGTGCATTTTTGTCTTTTGTGATCATATTTGAATGATGGGAACATGGTGTAGAGTTTTTATGTTGGTTCCACTAACGACTGAGTCAGAATTATTGTTTTATCGATATGCAGTTGGTTCCATTTCTGCATGTAGAGTGCAAAACTATTGATTTTGAAGAATGGATGACTACAGAGAACCTGAGATTCTGCTTCCTAGTTGGATCAGCAAGAATCCATTTGGGATGGCTGAATCTCGCCTCTTCGTTGTCTCTTGCTTTGTTGCTGGCTTAATTGGGATCCTGACTATAGCCTACACTGCCTACCAATGGAGAAGAAATATCAACTTGAGTTGGATGAAAGCAATAGCCAGGTCGAAGAAAAACCCAAAGGCAAGGAGTAAGGTTCCTGTTGTTCCTCATACATGGATGTTGGAATCCGTGTCGCGAGGAAAAAGTTTAAACTGCTGTGTATGCTTAAAGTCGGTGTCCCCTTCTCAAGCTCTCGGACCGATGGGGGCCTTAGACACGTTTATACACCGCTGTAGTATATGTGGTGTGGCAGCTCACCTGGGCTGCTCGTCGAATGCACATAAGGATTGCAAGTGTGTGTCTATGGTTGGCTATGAGCACGTGATACACCAATGGGCTATCCGATGGACTGAGGTCACAGATCAACCTGATGAAACCTCTTTTTGTAACTATTGTGAAGAGCCTTGCAGTGGGTCTTTCCTTGGGGGATCCCCTATATGGTGTTGCTTGTGGTGTCAACGGTTGGTACATGTCGACTGCCAAAATAGCATATCCTGCGAAACAGGTGATATTTGTGATTTGGGCCCATTTAGAAGGCTGATTTTATCTCCTCTTTTTGTGAAGGAGCTGAACCGTTGTTCCTCGGGTGGATTTTTGAGTTCCATAACCCATGGAGCTAATGAGATTGCATCTTCTATGCGTGCTACTATTAGGAGTCAAAGCAAGAAGCACAAGCAGGGAAATGAAACCACTGCTGACACAGGTGATAGCAGTAGCATTGCTGACACATCCACAGAAAGCACATCTGATACCCATCATACAGTTAACGGTTCTCACAGAATGGAGGAAAGTAGCAACAGCAGCAGAAGTATTGGCAGTGTGGATGAGCAACACAAAGGCGATACTGTTAAAAAATTGGATTCTAAACCTAGTTTAAAAAGAAGTTCATCAATTGATCAAAAGGATGAATCTCAAACTGTGGGATTGAAACAGAGGTATGAGTTGATTGATTTGCCACCAGATGCAAGACCCTTGTTAGTTTTCATTAACAAGAAGAGTGGGGCTCAGCGAGGAGGTTCACTCAGGCAACGTTTGAACATGCTCTTGAATCCTGTTCAGGTCAGATTTTTTTGACCAAAATTTATTTCCCCCCTCACTGAAGCAGTACAACATATATTCCTTCTGTAATCTTTTATTAATAATCTTCAGCTAATTATGGTGAAAACTGGATCTGGGATGTGATTTCTTAAGCAGATGTATCCTCTTAGTTAAGTTTTAAAATGTTTGATCTTTGATAGTGTTTCCTATAGGTTTTCGAGTTGAGTTCAACACAAGGACCAGAAGTGGGTCTCTATTTATTTAGACGAGTGCCCCACTTTAGAATTCTTGTATGTGGAGGAGATGGTACTGTTGGCTGGGTTCTGAATGCCATAGACAAGCAAAATTTTGTTTCTCCTCCTCCAGTTGCAATTCTTCCTGCAGGAACAGGAAATGACTTGGCCCGCGTTTTGTCATGGGGAGGTGGTTTGGGTTCAGTGGAGAGACAAGGGGGCCTTTGCACGTTGCTGCATCACATAGAACATGCTGCTGTAACCATTCTTGATCGATGGAAGATAGCAACTCTAAATCAGCAGGGAAAGCAACTTCAAACCCCAAAATTTATGAACAACTATCTAGGTAAGTTAATAGATTTTATTTTCTGACCACTTAAAGGCATATCTAGAGGATGAAATATATGCCCTGATATAGATTACAAGTTCAGTTTGTATAATGACATATACACATGCCAGACATGTTAATTTGTTGCGACTGGATTCTGGTTTTGCTTGTTTTCGAAATGATACCTTAGCTGAATGTCTAGAGTGTCTTCTGGGATCATACCCAATGTGCTTGACCATAAGTAAAGTCATCCAAACCTTACTTAAACCTAATTTTGGAGGTTTAGTTTGGGGTGCAACATCTACCTGTGTTGGGTGGACATGATAGAATCTGCAATATTTGATCTTTCTCAATGTATGTTCTTTATGCGTATAAATGTGAACATTTCTGTATGCATTACTATATATTCTTACCTTAATCTAATTGATATTTGTATCAGATGTTCCTTCTTTGATCATTACATAGTGACCAATTGAATGGGATAATTATTAGTATTATGGTTCGCTAATGGGTGCTATGTAGGGTAAGTGTGGGGAACACTCTTTTACAAGTAGTAAGCTCATAGATAAGGTTTGGCAGCAATTTGAAGGCTTTGTTAGGGTTAATATTAACTGATTTATAGTGGCTGGAAGATTGGTAGAATATGGGCTTTTCTTAGGGTTGCTAAGGGGGTAATTCAAAGGTAGGCATTTTGAGCAAAAACGAAGGATTTATGGGCTGTTCATCAGGGCTGTAAGAGGTGTCCAATAACAGTAAGTTTGGTTTCTGATGTGCTTATGTTGTATAATTTGATGAGGGATGGATCAAGCTTGACCTATGGAAGGTTACTGGTAAAATATGTTACATGGACTCTGCTGAGGTGCAGGGGTAGCTTAAAAGGTTGCAGAAACTAAAGAAAATAAAAAGAAAGATAATCCTAGGCATCACTCTTAATATTATAAACTTATAGTTGTATCAAAAATTCAAAAGAGCTTTGAAAGTTTCACAAATCTCTAAAACATGTTCTCTGTTGAGTTAGAAAAATGCCATTGCTATTTAAGCTTCAAAAAATCTTATACCAACTAGAAGTAGGTTTCCTAAATAGGAAAATTAGATTTTCAGAAACTTGACATTGACTTCTAAAACCCATGTAAACCCTATTATGACACCTAATAAAACCAATTACAGAAGGCAACCCGTAGTATGACCTATGGTGGCTCCTAAAGTCCACACCCATAAATTTAAAATTACCAAAACACCCTTAACCCTTTGAAAAATAAAGAATAAACTCATCAGATTAAGGGCTAAATTATTGTAAAATCAAACCCTCATGAGATTCAAAACTTGAGGATGCATGTTCTAATGGCCCATCCAGGAGATCATGGAAAATTCCAACTTCTTTAAAATTTACTTTTTCTCGTTCTCTTTATGGACTGCATAAGGGTGGGTTTTGTATGTGTGGCTTTCTGTTGGGACCCATTATGGGTGGTCATTTAGTGAGGTTGACATATAAGATTACGTAGGCAGTTCCCGATATGCTATGCATCCATTTCTTATTTACTTTTTTTAGTTTCATATTTTAACACCTCGCATTGGTTTGTCATGGATACTCTTTTGCATTATGGTGACAAACAGGTGATTATTGTCACAGGGGTTGGGTGTGATGCAAAGGTTGCTCTGGAAATCCATAATCTAAGGGAGGAGAACCCAGAAAAGTTCTATAACCAGGTAACTACAATTATACTTCACACTGTCTTCCCCCCCTCCCCTGTATTATTGTGGAGTGTTTTGTTGATTAGTAGACGATAGTCCAATGCATGCGCCTTTTGGTGTCATTCTTTTTTAAATTATGAAGTGTTATAATGTATTCAAGGCATCCATTGTAAGGTAAATTGCATTTCATTCTAGCTTTCTTACCCTTAGTTACCATCTCTCTAAGAAGCACAGACACTTCTAAAAAGGTGGTGTGTCTGTGTTGGACACCGACACTCGTTGAACACTTTCCCGACATGTGTCTAACACTTATCTAAACGTGTCGTATTTTTTTAAAAAGAATTTAGACTCGTACACTCTTTGGACGCTTGGACGATACACGTGTCCATTGCTTAAACACACGTATCCATTGATTAGACATACATGAAATTAATTATAAGTTTAAACAAAATAACTTAGAATATGATGATAAAGAAAAATAATGTCAATTTATAGAAAATAGTGTTATATTGCATTTATTTATTGTTTTAGAATGATATATTTATGTATATGACATATAATAAATATATAAAATTATATATTACATACGTGTCCCCCATGTGTTATGTCTTGCATTTTTTGAAAATTGCCGTGTTGGTGTGTCTGTGTCCATGCTTCGTAGCCATCTCTTTTCCCAACTCTCATGCTCTTGCTTAAACAATAAATAGATGCAGACCTACTGGAATCAGTAGTTATGCTCTGATAATAAATTATTCCACTTCATTCTGTTTTATTTTATTAAGTCAACCTCTTTCACTAGTTCTGGTCTTGGGTTTCTATGTGAAAATAGAATCCTTAACTACTGAGGTGACAACCAAAGCGTTGTGTACCAATCAATTGGGATCGACTATATGGATCCTTTTCGAATTCCCTCTATCAAGGCTATATGGTTAGTTGAATTGAAGTGTGGTTATGGACATAGGATACAATTACGACACAAAAATGGACACCCTGACATGCTAGGAAGCACGGATACGGATACGGGATACGGATACGACACGATACGGACACGGCGATACGGCAAAATTCGAAAAAGTAGGATACGGATACGGCGGGGATACGTTCATAAAAAATATTTTTTTCCACAATTTTTAGTAATGTAGAATACACAAAAATAAAACATCCGTGCTTCATAGCTGACATGACAATTTTTAAGAAATTCAGGACACGACAAATATTTTTTTTTATATGCATTTATGAAATTAGTAATTACTTTTTTTTTTTACATTAAATAGACATTGATATTTTATTCTATCAAAATGGTAAGAAATCATTTTTCACATTTTACATTTTATAGAAAACAAGTTTGAACAAAAAATTCTAATTTTATCATTATATGCCAACTTTTTTTTTTTTCCAAATTTACAACGTGCTTTTGATCAATGGACGCAAGTGTTCGAAGCATCTGGTTCTAAAAAGATTTTAAAAAATAGGACTCTTTTAGATGCATGTTTGACACTTGCAGATGTTTGACGAGGGTTAGTGTCCGACACGACATGATACCTTGTTTGAGGTGTCCATGCTTATTAGTCTGCTACCTTTTAATTAGATTTCAAGGTTCTTACCAGTGCCAGTTCATTTAGGTCATTTCGTGTACTGATTTTTACTGCTGCTGTGACTGCAGTTTATGAATAAAGTTCTTTATGCAAGAGAAGGCGCTAAGACTATAATGGACAGGACATTTGCGGACTTACCTTGGCAAATTAGGGTGGAGGTAGATGGTGTAGAGATTGAAGTCCCTGAGGTGGGTTTGCAAGCTGCTCAACTGTTTGTGTAGAGCTAATGGTCTCTTAACTCTTTCAGAAATCATAACTATACTGGTTGAGATACATTTTTTGGTCTTTCTAAACATGATTGAATGAATTGGTTATCAAATTTTTGAGAATACATCTGCAGATACTGAATCTTGAAATTTAACACAAAGTTCCAAAATGATACTCTGTGCCACCTGTTTTCAAATTATTTATTGTTTCTATATGTTATGCATTTTGTGTGTGCATAATTAGGCTTCCTGTTTCTGGCTTCCATATTTTCTTCTTTTTGAAGTTTATCACTACATTTATTTCAGCACTGACTTGTTCCCAGTTTTGGAATGTTCATCATGCTTGTAAGTTGTAGCAGCTAATAGATTTTTAACCAATCTGGTTTTACAGTATGAAATATTGTCCTTAAACTTTGCAGGATGCAGAAGGCGTTCTTGTTGTTAATATTGGAAGCTATATGGGTGGTGTAGATTTGTGGCAGAATGAGGATGAAACTTATGATAATTTTGATCCTCAGTCCATGCATGATAAGATACTGGAGGTTGTGAGCATATCAGGGACTTGGCATCTTGGAAAGCTTCAGGTAAGTTGTATCTCCAGTTTAATTTTTTATTTATTTTGGTAAATAGTTACATCTCCAGCTACTGTTTTTTGTTTGTATCCTTAATGTGTTTCCTCCCTAAATCTTTGTTGTTAAAGTGGGAACTCTTTCATCTTTCCCATAGTGCTCCAATAGTAAGTGTTACTTCTTATTTAGCTCACACTTCTGCGAATCAGCCCATCTACAAACTTTGAGAAAAAGGTTCAAAAGCGTACAAGGCATACAGTCAAACCTTGGTACATTTTTGTTTGGCATATTACAAAACTTGTGATTGGATGTGCGGTGCATAGAGGAGAAATAATGTTTTAGTTTATCTTTGTTTCAAACAACCTACCTACCTTCAAGATATCTTTATTCGATAGAACTTTGATGTTGGTAGAGATAATAGTTACTTGTCTCAACTCAGAGTTGGCACCATATGTTAATATGAGTTTGCAGGGTACATTTCAACTAAAGCTTCTTTGCACTTCTCTGAACTGTTGTTTTGTGTGTAACAGGTGGGGCTTTCTCGTGCTCGAAGGCTCACCCAAGGGCAATCAATTAAGATTCAGCTTTTTGCTGCATTGCCTGTTCAAATAGACGGAGAACCTTGGCTTCAGCAACCATGTACATTGGCCATCTCTCATCATGGCCAGGTTCTCTCTCTCTCTCTCTGTCTCTCTCTCAAATACAGCATGCAAGCCCGTAAGGCACTATTTATCAGATGTTGGTCAAAACCCTCTTCCTGTGGTAGGTGTCATGAAATTCACCAAGTATTATTAAAAATAATAACATGCCACAATGTGTGGTTGAAAGCATTCATATCAGTGAGTTTCTAGTATCTTGTGGGTCTGAGAAACCAATTTACTACTGTGCTTCATTTCTGGTTTCATGTTGACCAATGATTCTGGTACTGGTAAAAAGAAACAGTGAGAAAATGATAGGAATTAAATACCTTCCAGACCCTCTCTTTTTCTATAGTATACTGTTGGGCCCTCAAAGGACTTATGGTGTCGTTAACAGCCCCTGTAAAATCTAGCTGGTTACTCTAGAAATCATTCTTATCGTATATTACTATAATTGACCTCTCACCACTGTTGCAGTTGCAGCACACATTAGGAGTATTCGGAGAAGTGTAATGGCAATTAGTTTTTGAAAGAATTTAGTCTTTTCATTATTAAACCGCAAAAACAAACAAATGCACATCTTTGAATGATCGATGTACTGTATTCCGGCATGTTTAATTATTTTTATTTTTATTTTTAGTTTTGCGTTTTTGTTTTTCTGTTGACAATCAAAGACTTGATTTGTTATGAATATTGCACTGTATAGTGGCTCTTCAGCAAATGCATGTAGTACTTGCTGTTATTGACGTCTCACTACTTTTCCATGCCTAGGTCATGAATCATGATAAGAATCAGAAATCACATTATAATAAAATATATACATATATCCATGGAAAATGCAACCAACTATGATTGACATCTGTCATGGAGCTTTTTTGGACTCCTGAATTCGTTGGTCTAATGACGAGCCAACAAGGGAAGCTGTTGACTATTGTCTACCATATTGTTTTTGAGTTTTTCTTCAAATATCGCATAGTGCCTTAGCACCTTTCATACTGACGATTTGAGTTCATATCTTTTGACCCCGAAAATCATAAATCTAGCTCTTGAAGGTTGCTAGTGTCCGAATGAAGAAATAGGTAAAATAATGAGGTCGGCAAAATTTTTTACACCATTCTTCTCCTGTAATCTCACACCTTCAGTGGTGTCCTTATTTCCCTAACCAACATATTTCAGTCATTGCGAACACTCCCATCCATATCTAAAATGGAACCAACTTTGATCTTTTTTCTTTTCTTTTTTCTTTCGGATATAGATTGGAAGAGAAAATATGTTTCTATTTCTGATCAACAGCATGATTCGAATCATTTTGGTTGAAACTCTTATTGAATTATGAATCTAGCATGATTCTGACAACCATATGACAATATGACGTTTAACAGTTGCTATCCAGGCCCATTACTCTTTTGGACATAACATATGTGTGTGCTGACAAAAAATACTCAATGATTTGGATCATGTGACAATCAGTGTTTTGCTTTTGCACTTGATGCACAGGCCTTCATGTTGAAGAGAGCAACAGAGGAACCTCTCGGTCATGCCGCAGCCATTATTACTGATGTTCTTGAGAATGCTGAAACAAATCGTGTGATTAATGCATCACAGAAACGAGCTCTTCTTCAAGAAATGGCGCTGAGGCTGTCCTAGAGTACTGCCTACGTGCCGACACTAGATACCATTCAGGGGTTGAGCTGCAGCTGTTTTTTGGCGAGTTTTTTTGCTTTCTTGGCTCTTTGTACAGTGTATATCATCATTGGTCTCTCTATTTCATGTGTGACATCTTTTGAAACTTAACTCAATGCTGCAAGTTCAACCTTGTGTATATGAATCTTGATTAATAGCAAAATTAAGAGGGGTTTTTATTTTATTTTTATTTTTTTTGAGTTTGCATCAAATGAACAATTTGATGGGTTTGGTTTGTTATTTAACTCATTTATCACCGCCCTATATTGCCTTTGACCAACCTGAAGGTGAAGGTTTCCAGCAAGCCAGGATTTTCACAGCTCAACCCGGCACTTTTAAAATCTATATGCATTTGCCTAATGTTTGAATCTTGAATTTATTAGGAGAAAAGGACAAATAAAAGAGAAGTGAAAGAAATAAATTTGGTTACTATTTATTTATTTATTTATTTTGGGTCTATCTCATCTTTTATTTTATTTTATTTTTAGAAATTCATGATATACACAGAATTTTTTTATTACATTTTTATCTTAAAATAAAATTACCAAAATATCCTTGTGTTCTTCATCCAAAACCTTAGGCCATGTTTAGTTTCATTCTCAGAATTTTTTTTGAAAAAAAATATATATATAGTTAACAAGAAAGTATATAAAAATGATAAGGGCTTTTGATTTTTTTATTTTTTTCACAAAACTACTTTTAGTACTTTAGAAAAAGAAAATTGAAATAAGTTTTTGAAAATTAAAACAGAACATGGTCCTAATTTTTAAATTCTATTTCTTTAATCTTTAATCACCATTGTTGCTACTGCTCTGGCAATTGCAAATTTATTAAGAGAGTGCCTTGATAGGAGATGTGTACATAGAGAAATTAGTGTGTGGAAATATACATTTTCATGATAAGTCTACCAAAGCTCAATAAGAGGGCCTGGTTGGACCAAATGAAGATTATCTTTTTGTGTTCTCAATTAAGGGTTGTTTTGGTAACAAATTTAGAAAGTCAAAAAATTATTATTAAAAAGTCAATTATTTTTTTAAACTTTTCTATACAATTTAAAAAATTTAAAAATCAACTAAAATAATTATTTTAAAAATAATTCTAAGAACAAGACATGAATTTTGGAGACAGAATAACTTGGTCTAAACTGTAGCCATGACATTGAATGGCGAGGCCTCGTTTAGGAACAGGTTAATTTAGTAATTTTTTGGCTATTTAGCTAAAATATGAGCTAAAAAAAACTAGTATGTTTTGGATGACTTTTTGACTTTTTACGAAAAGATGTGCAAAAAGTAGAGAGAAAAAAGAATCTTTGACTTTTTGGTATGAGTTATTAGCTTTTTGGTTAATTTAGTAACTTTTTGACTAAAATGGAAAGGTCTTCGGAGATATTCATCATAAGAATACAATCGTGATTGGTAGCTCGAAAACCAGCCCCCTGATTCGCCCGAATTTGAAAAACGTTATCGTTTTTGCATTTTTTTTTTTTTTTTGGGTTCAATCAGAAATGAAGAAGAAGGAGAAGAGAAGGAAGAAGGAAGAAGGAAGAAGAAGAATTGGAGGGGTCATCAACCAGGGGAGAAGGAAGAAGAAGGAAGAAGGAAGAAGGAAGAAGAAGAAGAAAAAGAGAAGGGAGGGGCCATCAACCAGGGGCAGAGGCGCGGCAGAGGCCGAGCTGCTGCGACGATCGGCCTGCGATGGAGAGCTGCGATCGGCCGATCTTCTCTCTTCTCTCCCTCTCTGTTTCCCTCTCTCCTCTCCTCTCTCTTTCTCCCTCTGTCTCTCTTGCCTTCCCCCTCTTCATTTTTCGAGGGATTCGGGGGGGGGATTTTCGGGGGAAAAATCATTTTTGATAAGAATATTCAATGTGTTTGGTTTTAATTTTTTAAATTTAATTTTTCTGAAATTAAGTATTTTATCTTTCATATTTTTTTTTAGTGAATATTTTTAAATTTTAAGCATTTTTTTTAACTTTTTTAGATGTACTTTACTTAGATGTATCTAAATAGTAAATATTTCAAAAAATTAATAAATAAACAAAAATATAAAAAATATACTAAATTTCTATATTTTTTTTTGTATTTTTGGTGTTTAGTTAATTTTTTAAAGATGTTTTTCACGAAAATTATACTTTTGAAGAGTATTTATGTTAGGTATGTCTAAAAATTAAAAAAAAAAATTGCTTAAAATATTTTTAAAAAAATAGTAAAATCAAATACAAAAAATAAAAAATATTTTTTTTTAAAAATCTAAAAACCAAAACCAAACAAGCAACAACTCCCTACTTGCTTTTGCAACTTTCAAATATGGTGCAACGTTGCTTTGACTTTGACATGCCTCTCAGTTCAATCCGAACCACGGTTTAATTCTGTGTTCCAGTGTTACATAACAGTTAGACCCAAAAAAAAACAAACCATACAAACTTTGGATTAGTTTGGGACGTGGATTGGTTTTTTAATTTTTTAGTTTTTTGATTATTTTATTTTGGGATTAAAAAATTTTATTTGAAAGAAAAAAAATAAAATGACCACTCTATTTAGTTTCAGTTTTCAAAAAATTGTACTTATTCATTTTCTGTATTTTTTATTTTCACTGAATTTTTTTTAATAATTTAATCAATTTTTAAAATTTTTAGATACACCTAACATAAATATATTTACAAAGTATAATATTTGTGAAAAAATCTTTAAAAAAATACTAAATACCATAAATGCAAAAAAAAAAAATTACAAAAATTCAGTACATATTTCATATTTTTGTTTATTTATTAATTTTTTAAAATATTTTTTCACAAATACATACTATTTAGATACATCTAAGTAATGTGCATTTAAAAAGGTAAAAAAATTGCTTAAAATTTTAAAAATATTTACTAAAAATAAAAAAAAAATACGAAAAATAAAAAACTCAATTTTTAAAAAACTACATTCAGAAAAGTGAAACCAAACACATGGTGTCACGACCTAAACCCGCCTCTATAGGTTTAGTATCATAATCGGCCAGTAATTCTTAGATTACCCAAGGCCTCTGAACAAAATAACATATAATTAGGAGCTGAGGAAGCAAATATATGAAATATATGTAGTTCCATTGAGCTGTGTTGACATACATGAAACAGATAATTTACAACTTTGTATAAAGTATATACATATATGATGTCATGTCTACATAAGACATGCAATACCGTGCAAGTATTGTAAAAAAGGACTTAGCTCAGTGTACAGATAAACAAAAATGAAACTAAATGTAAGCGTTCTTAGCATGATTCACAAAACTTGACTTCTATAAACTGGAACCTCCCCGAGAAGCACAGTGACTGGCTGACTCCAAAACTCTCTAGGCAGCAGCTTAGGTTTGGTCACATACCTGCTCACCTACATACATACACAATATAAACAGTGAGCGGAAGTCTAGTGAATAATAACAGAGTAAAGGGTTAAATGAATGATGTCCCACCAGATTTAGAAATTAGAAATAGATTCATCTTCATCTTCTTATTTGAATCATATACAGAAATCAGAATTCATGCTTGTTCATATGTGGTACATTCATTAACGGTAACAAATCAAATTCAGAGCATTAAGGGTCATACTTGTTAATTCCATAAAGGAACTTTCGGCATCGGGAACAGATAACATGCTTGCCAGTTCCACAAAGGAATCTCCAGTACTGGGAACAGATAACATACTTGCCAGTTCCACACAAGAACCTCCAGTACTAAGAACAGATCACATACTTGCCAGTTCCACAAAAGAACCTCCAATACCGAGAATAGATCATATACTTGAACTACGAAATTATTGCCACGAGTGCTTGTCAAAAATTGGACAATCATTCACTGTACATAGCATAACATTTCATAAAACAGATCTTATTCTACATACAGAAAATAAAAAAAGTTGAACATAACTTTACTAAGTTATTATTCACAGATGACTCCAAAGCAAATAACAGAGCAGACAAATCAGGTAACTTGCGGTGCGTGGCCTACACAGATACAGAACGAATACGTACTGAATTACACATCCGGAATCATTAACTGAGTTCTTTTTTCTTTTGGTGTGTTTCTGCTTCTTATCCTCATTATTATGTCTTAACTAGGACTTAGGAATGCCTAGGATGTAATGAGGATGCCAAAACATGCTATTCAACACTTAGGCAAATATGCTGAAAACAAGGGTCTCGCTCTGGCGCAGTTTCCTTCGCTCGAACAGACGACCAAACATGTAAGTGGTCACTCGAGCTCAACTTCCTTCGCTCGAGCGGTCTGTAAACTTTGCAAAAGTATTGGTTGCTTAATTTTTCCATTCGACGCACGCTCGACGGTCGCTCGAGCGTGAGACTGAGGTCTTCGCTCGAGCGTAACTATTGTTGCTCGAGCGACTTCTGGGAGCATGCATTTTACGCTCGAGCCAACTTGAGGTCTCTCGAGCGGAGGTGCAAAACACAGAGGGGTTGCTCGAGCAGAGATGTAGAATCTGGAATTCTCAAATTGCTCTTTCTAGTTCATAATTCAATTTCAAAGCCACAAATCATGTTCTTTTGGGCCAAAAGCTTGAGAAAACATGTCTAAACTTGTCAAACATCATGAATTCAAAACCATTTCGCCAAATCAAGGTGCAAAAGCTTGCGATTGCTCAAAATTCAAATATGATGTGAACATGATATGCATGAATTGACATGAACTTTCCAAAACATGATCAATTAGGGTCAAATGGTAAAAAATGTGATGAATTTTTAAAACAAGGTCAAGATAGACACATGCATGTAAGACTTGTGTGAAATTCAAACTTAAATTGCTATGATATATGCATGCATGCATGCATGCAATTCATTTATTGAAGCTCAATTCTCCTAGTAATTCACCTATCACACTTGATTTCATGTAGGAACCAACTAAATTACAAACTAGGAGGTAGAAATTCTTATTTTAGAAGCTTAATTGTATCCTAGATGTTCAAACGGTTGAGTCACTTAGGTCAACACCTTGAATTCTCTATAATTTTCTTCCTCTCCATAGATTCCAAGCCCAACACTTAATCTCCCTCTCTCACTCTCATGTTTGATACTTCAAGAAGGAAGAATGAGAGTGTAAAATGTAGTCTAGAATATACATGAGCCGTATATAGGCCTAATTAAGTTGACTTAATTAATTTTGGATTTTAACTAATCAATGAGCACAATTATTCTAATTTAATTCGTTCCGAATCGAATCTTAATTAAACCTACTATAAAATTCTAAAAATTCTAACTAACATAGAAATCAAGTCAATTTTGTGATCGGACACCGATTAGGCCTTCAATTCGTAGAACATAACAGAAACATAAACAGATCTTTCTACAATAAACAGATAGAAACTCAAATAATGTCACACACAAGCAATTAATTCAGAATTTCATCTTGGTTACTCATTAAGCATCCTTAATCATGATTTAACGGTTAATCACGAGTCGGGGTTGTTACACATGGTTTGGATGTGATATTTTGTCTTATTAATTTTTTAACCTATTTTGTCATTTTATGAATAAAATAACCCTTTAGCCCCAAAACTAGCTATGTGAAACGATTCTTATTTGCAATAGTAGGAACACAAAATTTGAAACACAAAATATTCACATATGTGAGACCAGTCCAAGCGAGGGCCGGCCTTGAGATTTAGGGGCTTAAGGTGAACTTCAGAAATAGGATCCTCTTACATTGAAAAAAAAAAGTTAATGGATAAAACGATAAGTTATAACAACTTTTTTATTTGTTTGTAGAGACAAAAAAAATTATTTACACATACAATCATTAAAATTATAAACAAAACAATTTAATAAAACAAAATTAAGGCAAAAAAATTAGGAAACAATTATTCAATTAAAATTGATAAAGACCTAGGTAAAAAAATTAGGGTAAAATTATTTATTCCACTAAAATCTAATAGATAAAGAAGGTAAAAAAAAAAAAATTAGGGCAAATTTATTATTCCACTAACTGATAAAGAAAGAATATAAAAAAAAATTAGGGCAACTTTATTTAATAAATTTGATAGTAAGAGAGAGGACTTACAATGAAGGAGAGATAGAGTGTGTGTGTGAAAGAGCGAGTCACCAGAGTGTGTGAGAGAGAGAGAGAGAGTGAGTCGCTCGCTCGCTCAGTGCTGTGCGGCGTCTGCCTGCCCTGCTTGATGCTCATGCTTCCTTCTTTCTTTATCACTTTATGAGAGAGCGAGAGAGAGAGAGAGAGAGATTGAATTGAAAGCACTGAGAGCAAAGCAGTTAGCCCATATATTGTATGTATTGCTCTTCTTGGGCCCAAACACATTTTTTTTTTGTATATATTTTCATCTTAATAAATATGGGCCAAACTACACTTATAAATAAATATGGGCTAAATCATACATGGGCCCAACAAAATATTTTGGGACCCTTTAAATTGATCTTAAAAAAAAAAAAACATTGGGCCTATAACATTTTACTAAATTGGGGGCCCTATTTTTGGGCCAAAATTTTGGGGCCTAAGGCACAGGCCTTAGGCCAAGGCCGGCCCTGGTACAAGCCTTCAAGTCGCAACCTCACGACTGAGGGTATGCGCAGTGCTTCAAGTCGCAGCCTCACGACTAAGGTATGCCCAGTGCGATTTGGTGTGGTTTAAAGTTAAAATTAAAACTAAACTATGTGTGGCGGATTGACAAATTTGTTATCCATAACCAAACCACAGTTTGAATGGTTTCAACCAATTAGTTGATTGAAGAATGACCTTAAACAATTATCAACTATTTGCATAATATTTTTCATATATATAATACTAACTAATTTTACATAATATTTTAGATATATAACACAAGTTGCACAAAATTTCATATCGCAGATCTCACTCACACTAATTTCTACTTTGACATTTTATTGGAAGTTAAAAAAAATTATGCGTATTAACAATGACGAGGTGGGACGATTTCGAATGTGAATTAGCTAGTGGATCAAACAATTTTAATAAATTAGATGGTATTTTGCACGACCCTAGTCACAACAACTCCACACCTGTGATTCCCATGGGTACATGGGGTACAGTGACAAAATTTACCTAACAAAAATTTGTCTACTTTGGATTCATTCTGGGTTGTTTTGCATCTACAATTATTGTGTTCTTAGAATTTTTTCTAAATTGAAATAACTTGAAATTCCAATTATAGCAGACATGGCCACTAAAATCACACACTACAGCATATATGTACACAAGTTATTGCAGACCACTTTGTACACAAATCATTTTGTAAAACACAAGACACATCACACTAGTCTTCTCTATTGCCTATACTTGTTCCACCAAACGGTTTTCTCTCACCAGATTCATTCACAAATTGGGCAGAACCCTGGTTTCCAGCACTCTGGTCCACCTCAGCTACATCATTCACAGCCCATGTTTCATTTAGGTAACAAACCTCCACCTAGCATGGGGCCTTCATTTCCGCAGGGACAGCCCTCACTTCCAAGTCAGCCACCACCGGAGCAAAGAAGTCAAGTGCTCCAGCTGCAGCAGATGTTACGCCAGTGAGCTAAAAAAAAAAAAAAAAAAAAAAAAAAAAAAAAAAAAAATAACAAATTGTTTTCCAAAAACATGTGAGGCATTTACCTCTCTTTCGCTGACACTGCAGCAGGAACAGAAATGCCATCTCCATCTCTTCCTTAAGCTTATCAAAAGCAGCCTTGGTCAAGTCAAGAGATTTGATGCTGTGATTCTTCTTCGTCAAGCAACCACCATGGCATAGAATGAGGAGCTTCCTCCATCTCAGCCACTGCCGTAGCCCCTCTCTCGAGCATGGGCTGTCTCTCTCGGCTCTCTCTCGACTCTCATCTTGGTGGTTCTGTATCACACTCTCACCAGGGTCTATTCCCATCCTCTGAAGGAGAGACATAGAGGGCACGCTTGGGCCACAGCACCACATTCTGAACATAGCCAAGGTGCCGACACGGCAACACAACCACTGCCGACACGGCAACATCACCACTCGGTCCAGGTCAATGTACGCCGACTCGGCGTCCTCCGCCTCTCCTCCGCCGGAGCATCCCATCTCCTCTCCCCACTCTCTCTCCATCCGCGGCCCCTCTCACTCCCTCGGTGATACCACCAACGGATGCACTTCCCCTGGCCCTCATTTTTAATCCATGAACTAATCTGAGGCAATCAAGACACCCCATCTCTCTCTCTCTTCCTTTTGGCAGAATTGAAAACCCACTCTCTCATATTTTATTAAACTATCACCACACACCCACACACATTACACTTCACACCCATTTTTCTTTTATTTATTTAACCCCACACACACCCACCCCACTTCCTTCTCTCACTCTCTCGGCAGCTTTAACAACAACCAATAAAATCAAATAACAATAAAATAAATTAAACAATACCCACCAACCACAAATACCATAAATAAATACATCAGCACCTCACATGCATTGAACCTCCTCGGGCCACCCATTCACTTTCTTATTTTAACATATTTTCCATTTTCACATATTTTAACATCTTTTCCCCCCAACACCATCATCCCATTTTCCATTTTTTTTTTAAATATATATATATATATTTTCTTCCTTCCACATAAAAATAAAAAAAAAAATAAAAAACAACAACAAAATACAACTTTGCACACCAACCCATATTTTATTCATCTTCGGGATCACCTCCGATCACAATTTTACACATCAAAAAAAAACAAAAAAAAAAATAAAATAAAATAAAATACAAACAAACAACCACATTCACAGGTGAAAAAAAAAAAAAAAAAAAAAAAAAAAAAAAAAAAAAAAAAAAAAAAAAAAAAAAAAAACAAAAAAAAAAAAATAAAAAAATAAAAATAAAATACAAACAAACAACCACATTCACAGGTGGGCTTTTTCTTCTCTACTCTGCCGCCGGTCTTTTCTTTTTGCCTCCGTCCTGGACGGCCCTTGACGGTGCTGCCTCCGTATTTTCCACGCCGCCGAGCACGTTCACTCCCCCATACTCCTCCACTACAGCATATGGCGGACCTCTTTTTATTTTTTCTTTACATCACTTTACACTCACTCTCTCTTCCTTTTGGCAGAATTGAAAACCCACTCTCTCATATTTTATTAAACTATCACCACCCACCCACTTCCTTCTCTCACTCTCTCGGCAGCTTTAACAACAACAAATAAAATAAAATAACAATACAATAAAATATACAATACCCACCAACAACAAATACCATAAATAAATACATCAGCACCTCACATGCATTGAACCTCCTCGGGCCACCCATTCACTTTCTTATTTTAACATATTTTCCATTTTCACATATTTTAACATCTTTTCCCCCCAACACCATCATCCCATTTTCCATTTTTTTTTTAAATATATATATATATATTTTCTTCCTTCCACATAAAAATAAAAAAAAAAATAAAAAACAACAACAAAATACAACTTTGCACACCAACCCATATTTTATTCATCTTCGGGATCACCTCCGATCACAATTTTACACATCAAAAAAAAACAAAAAAAAAAATAAAATAAAATAAAATACAAACAAACAACCACATTCACAGGTGGGCTTTTTCTTCTCTACTCTGCCGCCGGTCTCTTCTTCTTGCCTCCGTCCTGGGCGGCCCTTGACGGTGTTGCCTCCGGATTTCCCACGCCACCGAGCACATTTACTCCCTGCTCCTCCACTACAGCATATGGTGGACCTCCAAATCGGAACATCACGGTGGCCTTCCGCTTCAGCTCCTTGTTTTCTGCCTTCAGCACACTTATCTCTGCTCACGCATCCTTATACATGCGTTGGAGCAGAGCCAGCTGGGAGTTTAAATGTTGCACCTCATTTGTTCTACTCTGCAGCCGGTTCGATAAATTTGTGACCGCCGTCATGCTTTCCACACATGCCTTCAAAGTATACTGATTGGCCTCCACATCCGACTGCACTGCCATTCTTTGCTCCACAGACCGCATCGGAAAGTTCAACGGAGTCAACTCCGGGGCGCTTGGTTGAGGTTCCAGTGCCACCGCACCAGTTCTCTCTCTTGTTGACTCGTTGAGGTCGGGAAAGAGGGTGAGCAGTCCACGGGAAGACGAGGATGAAGCCATTTTCTAGGCAACAGAGTGTCACACAGTATCTCTCTCAGAACTCTCTCTCAGACAACAGAGTGTTACAGAATACCTCTCTCAGAAATCTCTCTCAGAAACTCTCAGAATATCTCTCGCAAGTTTTTTGTCTCCGCCTCTGCCTCAGCCTCAGCCTTCGTCTTATAGCCGAGGCAGCCACGCGCATCGCGCGCCTCTTACCACCAGCCGACAAACGGGCGCGCCAACCAAGGCACTCACGTGCCTCGCCATGATGAATCCGGCACGTCTTTTAATGAATTGGGCACGCCTTTTGATGACACGCCTTTTGAAAAATTGGGCACACCTTTTGAGGGTACAACTTTTCCAACGGTCCGACATGACCCTATAAACTGTCCCGACATTGATTTCGGTTAGCATCTACAACGGTCCGACATGACCCTATAAACTGTCCCGACATTTGATTCCGGTTAGCATACAGTGTCCTCTACCACGTTATGACACCACCATACAGTGTCCTCTACATCGTTATGACACCACCATCCAGTGTCCTCTACCACGTTATGACACCGCCTTTCAGTGTCTTCACCAACGGTCTGACACGACCATACAGTGTCTCCTATCTTTTTTTTATTTTTATGTATTTTCTTGTTTTGTAACTCTCTCCAAACTCAAGTTGGTTAGTTCCTATCCTCCTTGAGTTTGCGGGGGGCTGTTAGAATTTACCAATTTACTCCTCCACCTACCATCTCCACTAGCACCCACTTCACCTACCACCTCCACTACACTACACCTACTACCCAAACCCTCTCCTATATAATGCCACTCTGATTTGTAATACAACACATCAAGATCAACATCAATCAATAATACATGAATTTTAACATATATGTACACAAGTTATTGCAGACCACTTTGTACACAAATCATTTTGTAAAACACAAGACACATCACACTAGTCTTCTCTATTGCCTATACTTGTTCCACCAAATAATTACACAAAATCAATTACATATATTTTTTGTAATCGGTTCTGTGCCCGTAAAATTATTGCTTGTTCCACAAAAACCTGCATTTGACCTTCTTCCACAACCGTATCACAAAATGTCCTCTACCTCCTCCGGTATCCTTTCCACCTGCCTTGCTATCAACCCTTGCTCTGTCCACTCGCCTAGACGCGATTCTCTTAGGGGTCTTTGCATTCTCTCTGTAAATGTTGCCTAAACGTTGGCGGTAAAAAGGGGACCTCAAGTAGGGTGACAATGGATGATTCGAATTTGGGCCTTGAAGGGCTCTATTAAGCTGCTTTGTCACTGCTTGGAGCTCGAACGAGTCGAATAGGGTGCTTCCATTGTTCTTTGGGCTCACCCTCCATACCGGGCTCACCACGTAGGCCGATGATGGGTGGACCTGAGCTGCCCAGGATTGTTTCTCTGCCGGGATGTCCGTTGGACGAACTCTTTGGTTTGAAGGTTCTTCATTCATGTTTTTGAGAGAGAGAGAGAGAGAGAGAAAGAGAGAGAGAATGGTGAGAGGTTTGTTTAATTTTGTTTTGTGCAAGTCTTGTGGATTTTAGAGATGGGTTTTGAACCCTGTGGAGTGTGTGCTTTGTAAGTAATGAAAGGGGTTGAGTAGTACAGATGGTTATAACAAAGCAAATTTCATTGTGTTCTACGCATTCATGTTGGCATTTTCTTGCATTGTAGGTTGGAGTGTCATTGTGGTCTTGTGAAATGTGAAAATGATTTTGTTTAGTTTGAAAAGACACAACATATAATTTGTTAAAAATCAGTGAGTTCCGTGCTTACGAGTGTATTGACCCAGACCTCATTTCTTTGCACGAATCAAAATTTGTGTACTATGTTTAACATTATTTTTCACTCATTTATTTATGGACATGGCTCCCCTCCAATCATGGAGTGGGGGTCGCTGTCGAGCTCTATAGGGCTCATTATGAATCTTAATTTGGTAATCTAAGGTTAAGTTTGGGTAGACTAAATCAGTCTACACTTTTTATCTTTTTTAGGTCACATCAATCAATATCTCCTCTCTACTTTTCTATCAATCTTTTTATAAAAAGTCAAAAAGTGCACTTATTTAGAACATCCCAAACAATCCCTAAATTGTTCATTTTGTAGAATTCTTCTTGTATATTATCTACACAAAAAATTAAGCCAATTCGATTTATTTCTAAAACATGAACGACAAATGAATTTTTAAAAATAGATCGATTTAATTTTTGTGTGTGGTTGATAAATACGAAGAACTCTACAACTGAATGATTTGGATCATTGAAATGGGATCCAAGGTAGCCCCATGAATCGGACAACACTGTCCAATTCAGATCATGAATAGTTATGAAGTCCTTTATTCATCTTAAATTATTTGTTCAACTCTTATTAGATATAAATCACTATTTATAATATATTGTATTATCTTCTCTCTCTTTTTTTAGGGATATTTACCAATAAATTCCATCTCACAAATAAGTACTAAGGCCTCGTTTGGCAAGTGGCTTTTTTAGTCAAAAAGTCACTAAAAAAATAAAAAAGCCAACAACTCATATCAAAAAGTCAAAGATTCCATTTTCTCTCTACTTTTTACACATCTTTTTGTAAAAAGTCAGAAAGTTATTCCAAACATATTAGTTTTTTTTACATCATATTTTAGTCAAAAAGTTAAAAAGTCACTAAAAAAGCCTGTTTCCAAACGAGGCCAAGTCTTAAATTTTTTCTATTGATTTGTTAAGTCCTATTAGTGGATATTTTCTTTCTGTGTGGTCCTATTTTTTATTTTGGTAGTGATTTGGTAGATAACTATACTCTTTTATTAATGTGATAGATATGATGTAATACTCTAATGTGGCAGGTATTAATATGACATTCCAAAAAATTAAAAATTCCTTAATATACTTTTTCTAAATGTGACAACGTAGCGGGTATGATGTGACATTTCAAAACTTTTACTTTAAAAAAAATAAAAACTCTTTAGTGTACTTTTCCCTAATGTGACAACGTGGCGGGTGTAATGTGACACTTCAAAAAAAATAAAAACTCCTTAGTATACTTTTCTCAAACGTGACAACGTGGCGTGTATGATGTGGCATTCTAAAAAAAATTTAAAACTCCTTAGTGTACTTTTCCTAAACATGACATGTGACACTCCAACGTGGCAGATATGATGTAACACTCTAAAAAAATTAAAAATTCTTTAGTATAAAATGTGACACTCTAACGTAGCAGATATGATGTGACACTAAAAAAAATTTTAGTATACTTTTCTCAAATGTAACACTCCAATGTGACGGGCAAATGAGTCATTACACATCCAAAAGGACTAAATGGATCACAAGAAAAAAATATGAAACTATTGAATTACAAATCTAAAATATGGGACTTATTGATCAATCTTTATTTTTTTATTTTATTTTATCAATATCATTATTTTTACAAAATTAACCATCTTCCCCCACCTCAGGCCCTACTCC